TGTATCTAACATTATTTATAATTATTTATTTTGGAAATTACACCTTTACATCGATGGAACACATAGGAGTGGTGCATCTATATGAAGGCTATAATCTATAAAAGGCAAATTGGGGTTTGTGTGTCCGGGATGCTCTTCTTTGTTACTGAGCCGATTTCAACCAAATTTTCACTGAATTTTCACATTTGAAAAATTCTTGATCAGCCCCTGCTGTATGTTGAAATGTTTAAGAAACAAATACATTAAAAATACTTTTATGCCCACCCAAGTAATAAAACGATGATTATTGAATAAACACAGGCTTGATCTGTAATGTACAAATATTTCTGTTTATTGTTTTAATGCTTCCATTAATTGATTCTGCTAATAAGAATTATGATGATGATTTCTCTCAATTCTTTAATGACATTGATTCAGCTAACGAAAATGATGATGATGACGACGACGACAGCTACGAACACAGACGCTCAGTTTTGATTTCAGTTTCACCATAACACCAACGATGACAACTAGAGCACCAATTTAGTAGTAAAACTTTATTTATTCACGAAGCACAAATCAACAAATTTAATGCTGTTTTTCATTGTGGTCGTGAGATAGCCGTACCTTACTTACAATTAATATAGATTACACAGTACGGTACATAATCAGAAAGTAAAAGTTAAACACACAAATTAAATAATGTAGATAGAAAGTCAACAATTTAGTAAAATAAAAGTAATCTATACCTAACAAATGGCAAAAATAAATTATCGAAATGAAGAAAATCCACTCCAAAAAAGTAAACTGTAGATTACGAAAAAGAATTGAAAAATGTATATAAAACAAAGCAAGTAAACATTAAATTAGTGATTTATACAATGTTTATGCTATTATACTTTGCTTTCAATAATTAATACATATGTGGTTCTTGAAAATACTGTACTTAAATTGATAGAAGACTGTACATAAGTGCCTAATCTATTCCATTCGATAGCACCACGATATGAAATACTTTTTGCACGATATGAAATACTTCTTTCTAATCAGTCTTTTGCCTTTAGTTTGCTCTGATTACCGCCATCCGAAGGACGGGTACACAGCTAGTAATAGAATAATACAAAGAGGCAAACATTATTTAGTATTGTCTTCTATGTTGTTTTTTATTGTTCTTCCAAGAGCATAGGAATACGAAGATACATTTTTTTATTATTAGGCCGAAAATGCAAACATTTTCATGAGCATAATTTTGTTCTACAGTATGCCTACAGGCCTCATATTTCTTAATACAGATCAACAGGACTGATGACAGTATAGCAGAGGTTATGTGTGATACGTCTAGGCCCATATTAGCTTCTGATACTCCTGCATTTAAATTCTCTTTTTTGGGTCATTTTCCCCCTTTAGTGTGGTTCCTTAGACCCTTGATACTTCAAATTGGGATAGAAGCATGAAACTTGGTATACAAACTCACATTGGCAATTCAACAATTTTTAGATTTGAGAGCATTTCAGATTTGACCTTTGACCTCAGAAAAATGCCGATTCCTCATAACTCGAGAAATATACGTCCTTCAAACATAAAAATAGTGGAAAATGATGGAGAAGTACTACTTCCTATTCATCTTTAATAGGAACATGTACCGAAAACTGAATACTTTAGGAGATATTTGTGTACTTTGCCAGCCCTATCAGAAATATACGGTACCGTATGTTCACCACTGTACGTCGGGAAAATAACGAGATATCCCATAGTGTTTTGATGAAATAATTGTGTGACGTTTATGTGACTATTTTATTGGTTGAAATATACATGTAATTTTCCAACTTATTTGAACATTTAGTGGGTCCATCTGCTAGAATAGAAGTATGATATCAAGGAATTTCAGTCTGAGCTTAGTTCGAGAAAAAAAAAATACTTGACCTTCGGACAAATGCACTGACCCCTATAGGAATATGCATGACTTTTAATCACTAACAAAAACAAATAGAGTTCTCTGTGCTACTGCATTGCTAATTACTGAAGAATTTGGTCACTTTGCTTCTTCCTATGTACTGTAGATTTAAGTAAGTAAATATACGTCCTACAAACATGAAAATAGTGGAAAATGTGAGTTGACATACATAAGTTTCAGGCTTCTACTCAAATTTGAAGTATCATGCCATTTTTTGGGACTAAGAAACCCCACTACTTTGATGCATCAAATCATATCCTGCTTTTGCCTAATTGTTTTTAAGAGGAGGAAAACCTTGAATTCTGAGGAAATTAAAAGCCACTAATAATACACCTCAGAAGTCAACAAAGTGACATTTCCAGTCATTTAGAAATCAAAATTTCTGGGACCCCCCTTTTTTTGAGGGGGGGGGGAGCTCATTTACAAACATTTTTATCCCCCTCCTTCAGAATTTCCTGTAGCCAGAGAGAGGAGGAAGTAGGATAGCCAAAAAGACGAATGGCCCGAGAAAAAGGGAATTAATTTCAAGAGTACTACTACGCGTACTGTACATGGTATTTTGACACAGTTTTACCGCGATTTGTACAACCGTGTCAAAATACCACGCGTAGTACACGTACTACTACGCGTAGTACACGTAGTACGCGTAGTACGCGTACTACGCGTACTACATGTAGTACATGTACTACGCGTAGTACGCGTACTACACGTACTACGTGT